GCGGCCCCAGCTGCCCTTCGGGTTACCGAACCAAAATCGAGGCGGCCACTGGTGGCACTGAGAGGTTTTACCTCGGATGTCCAATGGGACGATATCGTCGTGGTGTCGATAACTGTGGTCGTCGATAACTAGTGGAACAAAACTTGAGCGGCACTGAATGGGACACCAAGAAGGTAAAGGCTAACGCCGAGCTGGCCTTTAAGAAGGGATGGAGGGATAGCCAAAACACCACGGCGGTCGTGCGTTGCAGTGCCGGCCTTAGAGACGTGTTGGTTGCGCCGGAGAGGCTATACATCGGGTGGTGACTATATCGACGTCACCTGCTGTCAGAAGTGCCACCAGTATGGCCATCCGGCAAAATACTGTCGGGCCTCAGTCGTCACATGCGGAAGGTGCGGAGAAGCCGGACACGCGCGGGACAAATGCGCATCCGCCAGCAGACGGTGTGCAACGTGTCATAGATTCGGCCGTAAAGACGCCGCGTCGCACGGTACGATGGATAGGATATGCCCGGCTAGAATCCACGCCGAACAGCGGGCTGTAGAAACTACAAAATATGGCTCGTAATCGCGCAGTAGGTATAGGGATCGGTCAAATAAACCTGGGGGGGTCGGAGCTGGCGACTCGGGAGCTACAACGGATAGCGGAAGACCTAGGCCTCGATATTATTCTCGTCCAGGAGCAATATGCGAGAGCCTGGGCCGACGCGGACCGTCCTCTTGCGGCCATACAAGTCGGTGACAACCCCAAGGCGGGTATTCTTGTATTTAGGTCTTTGGAAGTCGCGATTGTTAGGGACTTATGTAGTGAACATTGTGTAATAGGACATGTAGCTGAGACCGACTTATATATCGTGTCCGGCTACTTCCAATATGGTGACGACATTGACCGCCACCTGCACCACTTGGAACGAGTACTCGACGTTCTTCGCGGAAGAAGGATCCTCATCGCTCTGGACTGTAACGCACACTCACCTCTGTGGTTCTCCGAGGCTCGGCACTACACGGGGCGCGGGCACGACTCGGAACACAGACGGCGTGCAATGGAAGGTTTCATCCTCAGTAGGGATCTCGTTCTACATAATAGGGAAGGCCAACCGGCGACCTTCAGTGGCCCAAACGGCGAATCCAACATAGATATCACTTTGACCTAGCGGGGGGTAGGATTAGATGGGTGGTTAGTTAATGATAGTGTTAGTGTCAGTGATCACAGGATGATATCCTTCACAGTGGGCGGTGCGGCCAGCCGACCGGCGTCGTGCGCTGAGCCAATTAAAAATCCACCGAGATACCGTGACCGGCGTGTGGACTGGGAACTCTTCAGGCGGAAGATCCACTACAGAATGGGGGACCTCGACACTTACCAACAGCCGGCTGAACTCGCCAAGGACTTCACCAGCATCATCACGCGATGCGCCAGGGAATGTCTCGGGGAGAAGAAGGAGATAGGAGGAGTGGGCTACGAATGGTGGAGTCCGGAACTGGACCGTCTTCGTAGACTTGCATCGAGAGCAAGGAGGGCCTGGCAGAAGACCAAAGTCAGAGGGGGTAGTCTAGAATCGTACACTAAAGCGGCCTATAATAGCGCACGATTGCGCTATCGAAAACGAATGGAGGAGGTGCAGCGGGATCATTTTATGCGACTGGCTGGGGCTGGCAACCAGGACCCCTGGGGTCAGGCCTACAGGGTAGCAAGCGGCATAATTTAATTAACGGCACTAAGTTTGCTGAAGGCCATGCGAGGGATGTGGACGGATCCATGCGCGCACTGGTGAACGCCCTGTGCCCCGATGACGACATGTCCGGGGACACGGACTACCACCGGCAGGTGCGCGATGTGGCTTCGTTCACACCCTCGGGCGACGCTGCACCTTCTCTCTCCAGAGAGGATCTGGAAAACATCGTCAAGGTGCTACCGAACACTGCACCGGGTATGGATGGGCTCTCATCGCATATAATTAAACAGGTATGGATCACGGCTCCGGCCGAGTTTCACTACCTGTACTCGCGGTGCATAGAGACGGGCGTGTTTCCGGACGCCTGGAAGGAAGGTCGGCTGCTTGTCCTGCCGAAAGGCAATGGCAAGCCGCTGACCGACCCGAAAGCTTATCGTCCGATAACGCTCCTACCGGTACTTGGGAAACTTTTGGAACGCGTCCTTCTGAAATGCGCTCCTGCGATCAGCAATCAGATCTCCGATTGCCAGCACGGGTTCACTCCGGGTAGATCAACAGTCACTGCGCTTAGGAAAATTTTAGATTCGCGACTCGAACGCTGGAAGTATGTACAGGCGATCTTCCTTGACATCTCGGGCGCCTTCGACAACGCCTGGTGGCCGATGATCATGGTCAAAGCGAGGTGGATGCCCCCCAACATATTCAAGATGCTGAGGGAGTACTTCACCGGCAGACGCGTATGCCTCCTCGTCGGTGGCCGCGCGTTGTGGAAGGAGTCCACGATGGGATATCATCAGGGTTCGGTGTTGGGTCCCACGCTTTGGAACCTTCTAATGGACGACTTGCTTCGGCTACCACTGCCGGAGGGTGTGAGTATGGTTGCGTACGCGGACGATGTTACGGTCCTCATCGGGGCGGACTCGAGAGCCAGTATCGAGAGTAAGGCCAAGGCCGCTCTCTCTCTGGCGATAGACTGGGGTGCCCGAAACCGGCTGGAGTTCTCCCTGGGTAACCCTCCACCAACCCATGGCCATTCCAACCTCTTGGTTATACTGGCCGAATCTGCGGGGAATGCGCGCTGAAAAGCACGCATTCTCTTGACCCCTACAAATTATTTCTACTCCTGTCCCCTCTTTCGCACTCTCCCCCTTCTGGGGCAGCGGACGAAACTTGGACGGCTTCGGTGCCGGGCAGCTCTCCGTCTTCAGCGGTGTCCTTCCTTCTTGAACGCGTACCACCAGCAGTCCTCTCGTACTCGCTCCGCCTCCGGTGCCACTGATGCGCGAACTCCCGCAGCCTCCTAAAATTCTCCGCAGTAGACACCAAGTCCGGGTAGTACACCGGACCCTCTCCTTCGCCTTCACCGCCACGTATCCCTGAGATCGGAATATAGGGAGCACTCCCACACAACGTGGTGGAGGTCCTCCTCCGATTCCCCGCAACTGCAGCCGCTCGACTCGTAGAGTCTCATGGCGTGCAGTCGCTTACCGAAGCAGCCGTGTCCAGTCAGGATCTGTGACGTCTCGTAATCGGGTTCAACCCACGGAGACGCCAACCTAATAGCCACATCCGGAAAGTATCGGTAGAGCTCTCTTCCATCCGCGGAGGAGTGCCAACGCTCCTGCCATTCCCCGACTATAGCGTCCCAGACCCCGCGTTTCCGTCTGCTCAACTCCGGCTTTGGCGCGGACTCGCGCTCCTCATCCATTCTGGCAGCACGGATTACCTCCAGGTCCGCAGGCAAGACCCCCCCCAGTACTGGTAGCGCCGCCGTACTCACGCTCCTGTACGCTTTCGTAAGGAGGATGTACGGGCAACCGCACATGCCTGCTTACGGTGCAATACACAATTGCCTACACATGCAATATCACTTCCATACATTTCACCTCATTATATTTATTTTAGTAATAAAAATCAGTGTTCGAGTAGCATTCAACCAAGGCGGTTTTATTTATCAAAAACCCCTCATCAATCAATCAATAGCATTATCACGGAACCGTGGGCTTAAACCCCCACATTCTTTGGTCCTTCGAGTCTTTGACCTTACTCCTGTTCGGTCGAAGGCGGGATCTCGCGTTGAAGAACTTTAAAAAGTGACAATCGCGGAATCCTGTAAGTGGTGTCACGTGGGCCGAGAGCACGGTTCACAGACATCGCATCATCAGCATCAGAGCAGAGCATCATCAGCATCAGAGCAGAGCATCATCAGCAGCATAGCAGAACATCATCATCAACAGCAGAGTGAGAAGCAGATCAAGTAAGACTGTTCCTTTAATTATTAGCTATTAAAATATAAGATGGAGCTAATCAAGCGTCAGGCTGACATATTTGAGTCAATAAATAAAATAAGAATAAATTTTAATAAGGACTCATCCTCTAGAAAAACATCGGATTATCTAAAAAATAGGATAGAAACCTTAAATAACTTGTGGGGAGAGTTCGAACAGAATCACGTAGAGTTATCTTCATACGAGGATAAATCTGCGCAGTATTTTCGGGATAACATTTATCAAAAAACGAAAGATGTTTTCCAAGACATAATATCAAAATTAATTTCTTTTAATAAAGAAGATAAGGGCACTCAGCGTAACCAAAAGGCAGACGAATTACTAACTTTACAAAGAACAAATTTTAGGGCTTTTAATCGTCTTTTATTGAGCGTAAATGTGGATAGCATAGATGAAAAATGGGAGTTGGAGGATGAGCTTCGTAGTATACAATCACGGTGGAGTACTATCGAAAATTTACATCTTCAAATAGACAACATTTTGCAAGGAGAAGATGTAGACTATGATACAGAGTTCGCGAGCTATGAAACATCATACAGAACTATAAAGCGGAAATTAAATAAAAAACTAAGTTCAGCAGCTCACTTAAACTATTCAACACCACAGCTGGAGATACCAACCTTCACAGGTCAATACACCCATTGGCCTACTTTTCATGATCTATTTTATGAGGCCATTCATAATAATAACACATTGTCAAAATCACAAAAAATGCAGCACCTCAAGGGTAAAATAAAAGGAGAAGCTGAACGTCTCATTCACCATCTCACCATCTCCTCAGATAATTATGACACCGCGTGGGAAATCTTAACGCACCGCTATAATAACCCACAAATTCTATTCACAAAGCATATTGAGATATTATTAAATCAAGCCAATATAAGCAAACAAACATCATTCGATATTAAAAATCTGCACGACGTTAGCATGGAATGTATCCATGCTATTCACAATCTTGGCATTGATACAACAACCTGGGACCCATTATTAGCCATATATTATCAAAAAAATTAGATCATTTAACGTATGCTGCCTATATGGAAGCTCGTAAGGATCCCAGGAGTCTGCCAGCTTTAGACGAATTTATGGGATTCCTAGAGAGTAAATTTACAGCTCTCGAACCCATAAGTAGGAAGGAAAGGGTAGTGACAACTGAAAAGGTGTCACAGCACCATATAAGCAAACCATCATCATCAAATTCATTTAGATTTATGAGCACTGGGAGACCTAGCATAAATAATTATTCTCATAATAATACAGGCCGTAATAAAATAGATAAACCATATCAAAAACCATTCTTTCAAGCAGTAACTACGAAGACATATAAATGTCCACAATGCAATCAAGACCATGATTTATTTAAATGTAATCAGTTCATTGACCTGTCACCAAAATCAAAATTGGCGACAGTGACTAAACTTAATATATGTCCAAATTGTCTATACAAACATGACACTAGTTGTTTTTCAACGAAGCGATGTAAGGAATGCAACGGCGAGCATAATACGATGCTCCACGACGCGTTTCCAATAAAGAGGTCACCACAAATGAATAATAACAATTTTGCAAAATCAGCGGACAAACGATATAGCGCTAATTATGTAGCAAATAATGATGAAATGTTATTAACAACTATACAAATGCAGGTATTATCAAGCGATGGGTCGTATGTAACTCTACGGGCCTTATTAGACCAAGGTTCGCAGATTACTATGATAACGGAAAGTGCCGTACAACTGTTAGGATTGCCTCGTGAACATTTGAACGCTTCCGTTGCTGGTATAGGAGAATCACCAAATCAAAGCAGGGGAAAAGTTCTACTGGACTGCAAATCGTTACGTAACGACTATGAGTTTGTTGCCGAAGCACTAATTATGCCGAGAAAAATAGTTCGCAATCTGCCTACTACATCATTCGATATAAGTAATTTTCATCACTTAAAAATTTACCTTTAGCAGACCCTGATTATAACACTTCAAGCAACATAGACATTTTATTAAATACCAATATATATTCGGAGATAATTTTAGACGGTTTGATAAAAGGACATAGGGATGAACCTATAGCACAGCGAACAGAACTGGGCTGGATAGTCTCAGGTCGCGTGGGAATAAAAACATTTAATTGTCACGTTGTGATCAACGACCTAAGTGAGATATCTCAGTACTGGGAAATAGAAGATATCACAAGCAGTTTATCACCACTATCAGAGGGAGAGCAACGTTGTGAAAACATCTACATGGACACAACAAAACGTTTAGAAGATGGGAAATATGAAGTTGCGCTACCAATGAAACCAGGATTTGAGCAACATATTGGTAAATCAAAGGAACGAGCTATAGCACAGTTTAAGCAATTAGAGCATAAATTAACAAAGAATACATCATTTTTCGTCGGATATAAAGGATTCATGGACGAGTATAAAGATCTAGGCCATATGCGTAAAACCAATAGCACTGAACAACCCTTATTCTACATGCCGCATCATGGTGTAACTAAATTAGATTCCACTACCACAAAACTTCGAGTTGTGTTTAATGCCTCTTCTAAAACATCATCTGGTTATAGCTTAAACGACTTAATGGAGTGTGGTCCTAATTTACAACATGACATTCAAGGGCTGATCATAAAATGGAGGCAATATAAATATGTTATCACGGCTGACATTGAGAAAATGTTTCGCCAAATCATGGTTCGAAAATCAGATCAGATACTACAATCAATTATATGGAGGAGTTCAGAGATTGAACCACTACAAACATATCATTTAACGACAGTCACTTACGGCACCAAGGCCGCGCCATATTTAGCCATGAGAACACTCAGGCAGTTAGCACAAGATGACGGCGATATATATCCCTTAGCAGCATCAGCATTAGAACAATCATTTTATATGGACGATTTATTGGGCGGTGCAGACTCTCTTGAACAAACAAAAGAACTACAAAGACAGATCATATCAATACTGAGGGGCGCAGGCATGAACATTCGCAAGTGGTCCAGTAACGACGCAAGACTCGTAGAAGATTTGTCGCCAGAAATGCTCGACTCACCATACGAATTCAAATGTAAAAAGAGTAGAAAAACACTTGGATTACAGTGGAGTCCATCAGGTGACTCATTCTTATATCAAAACATATCATATGAATCAAATAGCAAATCATACACAAAAAGACATTTATTATCATCAATAGCAAAATTATTTGACCCCTAGGCTGGCTATCACCAGTATATATTAGAGCAAAATTAATCTTTCAGAGAGTGTGGGCCACAGGGTTGTCATGGGATACTCAGTTACCATATGATATCATACAAGATTGGAATCAATTAGAAAACGACTTTAAAACGATAAATAAATTCACTATTAAAAGGTATCTGGGTCAAAATAATAACAATATACAATTACACGGATTTAGCGATGCATCAGAAAAAGCATACGCTTGTGCTGTGTATATTGTCAGCACAGACTGTAAGGGCACGTTCACATCAACGCTAGTAGCGGCAAAAACAAAATTATCACCACTGAACAAAAAAGTATCATTATCGAGACTAGAATTGTGTGGTACAGTTTTATTATCGCAACTTATACATAAAGTAGTCAAATCATTAACGTATAAAAATGTTCAAATTTATGCTTGGACTGACTCTATGATTGTTTTGGGTTGGCTACAGGGTGACAAATCAAGATGGAAGGAGTTTGTTGCAAATAGAGTTCAGCAAGCTACTGATATTATACCTCCATCACAATGGCATCACGTTAAAACAGATGAAAATCCTGCGGATTGTGCAACCAGGGGAATGACATCATCTCATCTGGAAAATTGTCGTCTGTGGTGGGAAGGTCCAAGGTGGTTATTAAGATTTAACCCTAACAGTATGGTAAAAGAAAAATATCAATCACCAAATATTGAAATAAAAAAGGCTTGTGTGAATGTAGCCTTATATCAAAATGAGCAATCATTTATAATGAATTTATTAAATGATTATAGCTCTTTAACACAAATTACTCGTATATTAGCATGGGTATTGCGTTTTACTGAGCGCGCGCGGTGTCAGCAGAATACGACACGTGTAGACACATTGTCTTTCGAAGAAATGAAGCGGTCAATGAATTTAATAATTAAGTCATATCAAGCGTATCAATTTTTAGAAGATATTAGTAATTTAAATAAAAAGCAATTAGTTTCAACTAAAAGTAGTTTAGGAAATTTAAACCCCTTTATGGATACCGATGGAATTTTGAGAGTAGGAGGGAGACTGAATAATTCAATACTCAGTTACACAGCAAAGCACCCAATTATTTTAGGTAGTAATAGTCGTCTTACAGAGTTGATTATTCACCAAGCACACCTAGCAACTTTGCATGGAGGTCCAAAACTTACCCTATCATATATCAGAAATAAATATTGGATTATATCAGGTATACGAACAGTGAAGCGACAGCTGAGAAAATGTGTTAAATGCAGGCGCTATAATCATCATGAACAGAATCAAATTATGGCAGACTTACCTCAGCCTAGAGTTACACCCTCTAGACCCTTTACACATACAGGAGTAGATTACACTGGATTTGTAGAACTGAAGGTCAACAAGGGAAGGGGTATAAGGACTAGTAAAGGTTATATATCAGTTTTTGTCTGCCTTTCAACAAAGGCTATACATTTGGAGCTCGTATCAGATCTCAGTACACCAGCATTTCTAGCAGCTTTTCGTCGGTTTTGCAGTAGACGTGGAACCCCACAGCATATGTATAGTGACAATGGGACCGACTTTGTAGGTGCCGACCGCTGTTTAAAAAGAGAATATAAGGAAATCTTATCTTATATCAATCACGAATTTATCAATAAAGTTACTGAAATGGAAGTTCAGTGGCATTTCAATGCTCCAGCATGGCCCAGTGCAGGGGGCCTATGGGAAAGAGCAGTGGGTAGCCTGAAATATCACCTCAAACGTGTTATAGGTGAACAGAAGCTGACCTATGAAGAGTTCACCACTTTACTATGTCAGATCGAAGCATGTTTGAACTCGAGGCCACTTTGCGTATTATCAGAAAATGCAGATGATGAATATTTAACACCAGGTCACTTCCTGGTGGGAGGAGCATTATTATCACGACCACAATCGGAACCACATATTATGCAGAGTACAACGCGATGGCAGTTGGTACAGTCAATGAATAAACATTTCTGGAAAAGATGGTCCGATGAATATCTACAGCAATTACAAACAAGATCTAAATGGAGAGCAGTCAGCAGAAACCTTGCTATCAATGACGTTGTCCTAATAAAAGAGGAAAGTTTACCTCCTGGAAGGTGGGCATTAGGTCGCATACAAGAGTTGCACCCTGGAAAAGACGGTCATGTAAGGGTTGTAACTTTAAAAACACATAGCAATATGGTGAAACGACCAATTTCAAAATTAGTACTTTTACCTGTAACCGATGAACCTTCTTCATTGAGCAAAAATCAAGCAGAAAGGGAGAATATCACGAAATCAAAATGTACACGCAAGCATAAATCATTTTTAACTTATGTCTATACAGCGCTCCTCATGATGTTCATGTTGTTTACCCCAACAATGCAACTTGAGGTCCAGCCGTACAATATCACTCAACTAAACAATGATCAAGGTCTATATTTTGATAAAATATCAGATCTCCAAATAATCAGAGATGAATGGAATCTCGTCGTATATTATAACATGACACCATATTGGCAAGGCGTGTCTGAAATAGAACATTACCTGAAATATATTAGAAACCTAAACAACGCATCAACTACACAATCGTATATACGTAATATTGCCCCTCAATTAGATCACGAACTAAATGAAATTCGCCATTACAATACATTGCTTCAAAACTCTCCAAATAGAGTCAAGAGAGGACTAATAAATGGAGTTGGATATGTTGCTAACAGCTTATTTGGAGTACTGGACGAGCGATTCGCTGAGCAATACCACCAAGATATCAAAAAAATATCACAAAATGAAGAGCATCTCTTAAAATTATATAAAAATCAAACTTCAACCTTGGAGGCTGAATACAATATATTACGTCGTAACGAACAATATATGAATCAACAATTTTCATTCATTAGAGAGTATTTAAATAATATGACATCACAAGTACAATTGGATCGATCTAGGCAACAAGAGGATGCACATATCATATCATCTGGCCTATCAGCAAGCATACTTTTATCTCACATGCATGCTCTCATTTCGTGTGGCGGCAGGATGTACGGGCAACCGCACATGCCTGCTTACGGTGCAATACACAATTGCCTACACATGCAATATCACTTCCATACATTTCACCTCATTATATTTATTTTAGTAATAAAAATCAGTGTTCGAGTAGCATTCAACCAAGGCGGTTTTATTTATCAAAAACCCCTCATCAATCAATCAATAGCATTATCACGGAACCGTGGGCTTAAACCCCCACAGAGGATGAGAGACGGTCGCTGCAGCCTCAGGACTATACTACGTACGACATGGAGACTGATTCTCTCATGTCATACGGGTGCAGCATACGTCAACGTGGCTACGTAAGTGCCCTTGTAGAGAGTGCGGAGGGCCGGATAACGAATGCCCCAGGAAGACGCCGATACTCTCGACATCTTCCCGAAACATTTGGCCGCTCGCTCTCCAATCGTTGTCGCATGCTGCACGAAGGACATCCTGTCGTCTAGCGTCACTCCAAGAATGGTTGCCGCCGTGACGGTCCGGACCGAGCCGGCACCCATCCTGATGACTGGGGGCCGCTGGAGCTTTCCCTTTACGGTCATCGTCATGGACTTGCCTGGGGAGAACTCCAGCCGATTACGGGCTCCCCAGTCGAGGACGAGCGAGAGCGTGGCTTTCGCCTTGCTCTCGATGCTCGCTCGAGAGTCGGCTCCGATCAGGACCGTAACATCGTCCGCGTACGCAACCATCCTTACTCCCTCAGGTAACGGGAGACGAAGCAGGTCATCCATCAGTAGGTTCCATAGCGTGGGACCCAATACCGAACCTTGTGGACATCCCATGGTGCATTCCTTCCACAGCACCCGGTCACCGGTGATGAGGCACACGCGGCGACCAGCGAAGTAGCCCGCCAGCATCCTGAAGATGTTGGGCGGGCAACCACCCTGTTTCGCCTTTACCAGAATCATCGGCCACCAGGCGTTGTCGAAGGCACCCGAGATGTCGAGGAAGATGGCCTGTACATACTTCCATGGTTCATGCCGCGAGTCTAAGATAGCCCTAAGCGCGGAGGTGGTGGACCTACCGGGAGAGAATCCGTGCTGACAGTCGGAGATCCGAGAACTGATCATCGGAGCGCTTTTTAACATTACGCGTTCTAAAATCTTTCCAAAGACCGAGAGGAGCGTGATCGGACGATACGCCTTCGGGTCGGTCAGCGGCTTGTCGTTACCCTTAGGCAGGACAAGCAGCCGACCTTCCTTCCATATGCCGGGGAAAATACCGGCTTCTACGCACCGCGCATAGACGAAGTGGAATTCGGCTTCCGCCGCCTTCCACGCCTGTCTGATGATTCGGGAAGAAAGCCCGTCGAGCCCCGGGACGGTATTGGGTAGCAACTTAATGATGCTTCCCAGATCCTGTCTAGATAGAGGGGGCGCAGAGTCGCCCGAGGGCGTGAGCGCAGCCAGTACGCGCACCTGACGGTGGTGCTCCGTGTCCCTAGACTGATCGTCATCAGGACACAGAGCCCCAACAAGGGCCCGCATGGATTCGCCCACGTCCCTCGCATGGCCCTCGGCAAACACTGTGCCATTTATTATATTACTGGGAGGTCTAATCCTCCCGCTCGCAACCCTGTAGGCCTGGCCCCAGGGGTCCTGGTTGCCAGAGCCTGCCAGGTGCCTAAAATGTGACCTCTGCACCTCCTCCATTCTACGTCGGTAGCGCAGGCGCGCTTCCCGGTGGGCCATTCCGGTGTCAGCCTCCACTTGTCCACCTCTATGCCTAGACGCCTGCCAACGTCTCCTAGCTCTGGCTGTGATCCGCCGCAGATCATCAAGCTCAGGGGTCCACCATTCGTAACCGGCATTTCCCCAGCCCCGCTTCTCCCCCAGGCATTCTCTGGCACACCTACTAATCACGTTGGTGAAAGAAGAGGCCAGTTCCGCCGGGGGGAGAGCGGTGCAGAGGTCACCCATACGAAAGTGAACCCGCCTACGGAAGAGTTCCCAATCCACATTCCGGTCCCGATACCTAGGGGGATTTTTAACCGGCTCAGCGCACGACGCGAGCCGATCGCTACACTCGTCAATGCGGTACACAATGAGCCTGTGGTCACTGCAGCTCACTCCTTCAAGGACCCGCCACACGGAGAGCTTCACCCCCCACCTCGATATGGTAATGTCAATGTTTGACTCACCGTTTGGGCCACAGAAGGTTGCTGGGTGGCCCGGTGAGTTCCATATGACGAGGTCGTGGCTCAGGATGAAGCCCTCCATAGCCCTTCTCCGGTGCTCCGCCTCGTGTCCGCGCCCCGAGTAATGCCGAGGCTCAGAGTGCCACATCGGCGAGTGAGCATTGCTATCCAGCCCAATGAGGACTCTCCTTCCGCGGAGTTCCTGCAGCACGCGTTCAAGGTGGTGCAGGTGGCGGTCAATGGGCTGGTTGTACTGGAAGTACGCAGACACAACAAAAAGATCTAGGGCTGCTATATGCGCCACTGCGCAGTGCTCCGAGCAGAGGTCCGACTGGGATGCGGCGCTCAAGGAGTTGGCTCCAAGGAGGATGCCAGCCCTCGGTTGGTTACCCGATTGCACCGCCAGAAGCGGTGCCTCCGGGTCAATCCAGGCCCTCGAATATTGTTCTTGAGTAAGAACAATACCGAGGCCCAGGCCCCGCGCGATGGCCGGCAACTCCCTGGTGGCCAACTCCGAGCCGCCCGCATTGATCTGCCCGAAAGTAATTGCAGGTCGTTCAGGAGCCATATTCAGTGGTATGGACGGCCCGTTGCTCGGCGTGCAGGCGCGCAGGACAGGTCTTGGCCATTGTGGCGTGTGTCGCGGCGTCTCCTCGCCCGAAGCGATGACATGTCGCGCAGCGGCTCTCCTCAGACTTGCAGCCCGATCGGTCGTGCCCCGTACTTCCGCACCGTCCGCAAGTCTCCTCTTTGGCCCTACAGTACTTGGCCGGGTGGCCGTACTGCTGGCACTTGGCGCAGCACGTCACATCCACATAGTCCGTAGGTGTGATGACGTCCCAACCTACGTACAGTTTGTCCCTCCTGATGAGCGCTCCCCTTAGTGACGGACTGCACCGAAGCACCACAGTAGTGTTGCTGCTGCCCCTCCACGATTTTTTGAAGGCAACCTCGCTGTGCCTCTTTATCTTTTCTGTAGTCCAGCCTTCTTCCTCTATGTTTTGGGCTGCGAGGTTGCCAATTAGCTCTTCCGAGCCGATGTCGGCAGAGAAACCTCTCAAGGCCACTAGAGGCCGCCTAGCCTTTGGCTCGGTGACCCGTAGGGTCGGCGGGGCAGCCTCCTTCAAGCGGGCAGCAGCTTCCTTATTGGTGGTCTGAACGACCACCCCTGCATTTCCGACTTTGCGGACGTTCGCCACCTGCAGCTGTAGTGTCGCCGGGCTGACTACTTTCTTGAGTATCCGTGTCTTCCGCAGTCCTGATCTCTTTTGCTGCTTCCTCTGGGGGGTAGAAGGCCAGGACTGGTCCCGGCGCTGCGATCCTTGTTGGGTTCTTCTGTACAGCCGCCATATTTTGGTGCAGTCTCAACTTAGAGGCATACGTTTCCGTTTGGGCTGCCTTCACTGTTGGTCCTTCCATGTGAGTCGCCGAGGTGCTCTCGATCTTTCTGAGCTTTTCCTGTGCTAATTGAAGCTCTGCCTCAGCGACTCTCAGATCCAGTGCACCCACAACTGCGATTACTTCCTGCCCCAATATGCTGATGGCGGCTGTGTCCGATTTATTGAGTTTGCTGCCCGGCCCTGTAATGACAGCCATGATGGCGGCCATATTTTTCCTGGCGACCTCAAGCAGCTCCAGCTTCGACGCCGTTGCCACATTGAGGCCGCCAGCAGTGGGCTCCTGCTGCAGCGGCTGCTCTGCTGGTCCTCTTGGCGGCTCCACAGTAGACCCCTGCCGGGGTCGCGGCTCAGGCTGGCGAGGCGCCGGGGCCGTTACACTTTTCTTCTGAGGTGGGCCCAGCGCCCCTGCCTGCAGGCCAGCGACCGGGGGGCGTCAGATTGCCGCTGCTGCTGCGTCCGCGCTGTAGGCCGCCGTCGCTCCACCGCCGGCGTGCTTCGGCGCGGGCCCGCATCGTCAGGCGAGGTGAGCGGCCTCTTCGCCGCCGCCGTGCGGGGCGGCGAGTCAGCCCTGCCCGTCAAAGCCGCTCCCGAGCCCGCTAGGCCCAGCAGATCAGCCTCCGCCAGACCCGGGGGGTCTCTGCTAGGCGAGCGCGGGGGAGGGGTGCGGCAGATCGACTTCCGTGGGAGGAACGGGGACCCGTCGTCCTCCTCCTCCATTGTTCACAAAATTTTCCCCAATTTATGGGAACACAAATTTTTCCCCAAAATCTGGGAGTTTCCAAAATTATACAACTGTCCACACCGTGTTCTTAAAGTTGCCACTAATAGAGTCACACAAACTACACTGAAAAATTTTGTCCACTGGCAACCGCGCATGCACCGCTGACAGACGCCAAAGCGCTGTGTCAAGTGTGCGCGACAGTCGGTCTGAGACCGTATCTGTCAAACACACTGACAGGCGACGGGCGACGTCTGTCAAGGCTATCCGTCAGTCTTCACAACGACGCATGCCTACCGCATGGGCACCACATGGCGCAACTGACTTAACCTAAAAATGTACTTTTTTTTTTTTTTTTTTAACGTGTGGAAAAATCTTCAAAAGACCGTCACCCCGCCGGAGGGATGGCGAGGTGGTGTGTGGGACTTGTACCCACTAAAAAACCACACGGTGTACCTACGAGCGCCTATGCCGGAGCCAGGGGATTCGCAAGTGCATTCTACCCCAGCTCCGACGGCGACGGCCCGCCCTGTAGATGTTGTAGGGCAGGCCCCATCTCGTTTTGTGGTTAGGGCGACCTATTTCGCCCTACTCCATTGTGGAGGCGTGTGGGTACACGCGCACACCTCCGGGGCCTTTGGATTGGGGGACTGCCTCCCTCAAGGCAGTCACCCCGGCCCCAGTGGGGGATAGAGGGGGCGGAGTTGGGTACGCCCCCACCTCTAGGCCTGGCTCTTCTGCGGCGGAGGGAAGCGGGACGATCTGACTCTCGCTCCCTTTCCGCCGCCTCCTTCCGCGAGATAACTTCCTCGCAGAAGGAGCTCACCGCCAGC